CACAGTTCTGCTATGTGAACAGCCTTGGACGATACTGAAAGACTTCACAATCTGTAGGTCCAAGCGGTTGCCCTATTTTGGAATTCTATTCTCCTTTTGGGTTCTATGGATTTAAACACCTTTTGGAGATTAAAAAAAAAAAACATTTTCCAAATGATCCCAGAAATACTGAACATGTAACATTGGGGGCGTGGCATGAAGGTTGGGTACCTCTGTTCTATAGGCTGGTATCTAAAAAAATTGTAGCATTATATTCCTGATGATGCAGACAACGTAATAAAAACCCAAAAAGAGCAAAAGGCAAGGTCATCTTCCTGGGAGGAACAGTCGGTCCCCCAACTTTCTACCTCACTTGCATCTTAACCCGCATCTCATATTTGAAGGAGAACTATGGGGTTAGGACTTTTCCCCATAGTTCTCCTAAAGGTAACGGGAGGACACAAACTAGCGTGAGTGACAGCTGGCTCTGTCTATCTAGAGGCAGAGCCAGCTGTACCCGCCCCCTCCCCCGTCCGTTCCGCCAGTCAGCGCCGGAGGATCGGGGAGGGGGGAATCCAGCCCCTCCCCCTGTCACGGCTCTCTGCAGTGACAGGATCGAGAAGTGAGCGAACGCCGGTATGTGTTCGCTCACCTCCCGATCTACTGAGCCGACCTGTGACAGTCTCATTGTCACAGGTCGGCTAGAACTATGAGGTGAGTGAAAAGCCCCTCCCCCTCATAGTTCTCCTTTAACTATAAAGTCTGTTATCAAAATACCTTTATCTGCATATTACGCACATGCCCGTCCTGTTCCTGCTGGTAAAACGCCCATTTCCTGCACAGATGAGTTTCCAGAAAGACTTAAAGGCCAACTCAAGGCAAAACTATTTTCTAGTTCTAGTGAGGAGGAGACTATTAGTCTACACAGCTGGTCAACATTATAGAGGACGATCCACATTTTCAGTCCCCGTGTCACCAGGAAAAGACAGGGAGACGTAACAGAAAACCTGATGGAGGTTCTAAACCTTCCCCGCGCTACTTACATGCTTTCTTTTTTTCCTCTGTCCCCATTGGAGAGGATTCCCAGTGACAGACGGAAAGTGAAGGAAAATCTTCTCAATGGATGACTATGGAAACCTGCAAATGTTCTACACTTTTCAAAAGAGTGCTGGCGAGTGTTAAGCTGTATGCTGGCGACATACCGACTGATTTGCCCTAGATCGGCAAATGTAGTGCGAGGGCATAAGATATAAATTGTATGACTGCTTAGGCACGCCCTTCTCCTGCATATTTATTAGTACATGTAACAATTATTATAAAAATTTGACTATTTTCTGACCAGCATAAGAGTGAAGTAAAGGGGACGGTAATGGGTCCCCACCACAGCCCTCAGATCCCATTGCAGCCATTTGTCTGTTATGGTTGTAGTTACGCCATGGGTAACGTTTTCTATTCATTATCCATTCAGAGCAATGACGTCATGCCACATAAAAGGGGTGTGGTTTTGTCTACTTTACCTACCTGACAGAAGACTCTCAGAAAAGAGAACATGACAGTAGAAGGCATATCATACACTAATAATATCAGGGGTGTCAAACTCAATTTAATCGTGGGCCGCATCAACATTACGGTTGCGCTCAAAGGGCCTGTAAGACTATATAAATGTTTCTAATCTTCATCATAATTGCCTCTGCATTCCATTATCACTGGTTTTAGTAATAACTTAATACCTAGATCTGAAAGTAGAAGTCTAGGAAATGGCCTGGCGGGCCGGATTCGGCCCCTGGGTCTTGAGTTTGACACATGTGACTAATATGAATCTCTAAGGCTGGGCTCACACACCTTACAACCATCGCAAGACTTTTGTCTTGCGATGGTTGTAAGGTACTTAAAAAAAACGTACAATCTGCCTATCTTGCATAGGCAGATCGTACTTGCGATGATCACAAGCAACGCCCCCTGAGGGGGGGGCTTTCGATGACCGCAATGCCAAACGGGCAGTGTGCGCTTGCGCACACCGGCCCATCCGGCTTTTATCGTACGAACATGCCACAAACCCGCCGAACATCGTACGATGCTCGGCGGGTTTTCAAACATGTCCATAAGTTAAAAGTCGTGCGACTGTACAGTAGTAGAGGTCGCACGGCTTCCACACACCTTACAATAATCGTACGATCGTGGGATTTCCCGCGATTATCGGACGATTATCGCAAGGTGTGTGGGGACCTTTAGGATGTGATCAGTTGATAACTTTAGGAAGAACTCCCATCAAGAGGCAACTTCAGCACGCTGCCTGAACGTTTGGCAGGAAAGGTTCATCACCCCTTTTGATCTGGAGCAGTTCTACAATCCCGAACCCGTGTGTACAATTTGTGGGTCACAGTATAGATCCCGCCGTGTGAGTCTGTACACTTTGCTCCCTTGCTATCCTGCATAGCCGATTCCTGAACCCTGTACTGAGAGAGATGCGCCGGTTGCCGCTGCAGGCCTCGTCTTCTGAATATCTCAAGTGCATGGTTGTCAAGGCGTTCCAAAGACTTCAATGCTCTCTGGCTCTGGAAATCCTGAACGTGCAAGTTCAGAATTTCTCATTTTATTTTTTGCATATTGTTTTTTTTTTTGGTCGAAGTAATAAAGAAAAAAAAAAAAAAGCCCAAAACCCAC